TCAGGTCGGTCAGATCAGGTCAGGTTGGTCAGATCAGGTCAGGTCAGACAGGTCAGACAGGTCAGGTCAGACAGGACAGGTCAGGTCAGACAGGTCAGGTCAGGTCAGGTCAGGTTGTTCTCACCTTCTTGTCTGGATACTCAGTCTTGATCTCAGCAGCCATCTCTACACCAGTGGCCCCGCCTCCAATCACCAACACTGAGTCTGCAGCCTGGAACTGCACACACACAAGTTTGAGAATWACTTTAAAACATGCAAACCCCAAAACATGTTGAACAAAGGAGAAATAAAAGCCCTGACTGAATTAATAGAAAATAAAAACCTTATAATCAAACCGGCAGATAAGAGCAGCTGTGTGCTGGTCATGGATAGAACCCACTACTGGTGGGATGGATACAGACAACTGGAGGACACCTACTACTATTTAATATTAACCAAACCAATTAATACGAAGACTGTATCTAATGTACACAACATTATTAATGGTTTGCATAAGAAAAACATTATAGCTAAACAAAAACAGTATTTGTTATACCYACCAATACAGAGAGCAATATTTTATGTTTTCCAAAATTCATAAAGAACCAGATAAATGGTCAATCATGTCCAACTGCTGCAGTGAAACAATCCATACAGCTAAATATATAAACTATTATCTTAATCCACTACCTGGCAAACACAAAGGACAACTACGATTTTGTTGAAAAAGTAAAAAAAGGAAAGAAAACTCCAGAAGTCTGTACATAATATTAATATCAGACAGGATCAGTGCAATCTATGGAACTCCTGAAACTTTTGGAAATCAATTTAACAAGCAATGATTTTGAGTTTATGGGGAATTCTTCCTTCAGATTATTAATATTTCACACAACAGACTTGACTTTACAGAAGTGTTGTTCTCTTTTAATTTAATTCCAAACTGAGTTGGAACATTTAACCACTGTAGGGGTCAACAAACACTAGATCTGTTTCTTTAACCTAATCTAATCTGAGACCCACACTGATTATAAACCCAACCAATAATCTTCTACTATTGAATAAAATAGTTAGAATTTCTCTTAAGATTTGGACCCAATTCTAGGAAAAATTCTGCCAAGTAAGAGTTTCTTATTTTGTGGGAGGASTTGGCCCAAGAYGTGATTGGTCAGATTGATGGTGGGTTTGAAGACGCTGGGGGCACCAGGGAGTAGTCAAATTGACCATGAATCACCAGGTTTTTTAAATATAGTTTTTAAGTTTAATGATAAATCGAGACAGGTAGGTGCTACCTGCACAAAATTTAAACCCTTACATGTGATGGGACATGTAATAAATTGGTTCAGTCAAAACTGTCCGAACAAGCCTGTAAACAAAATCGGTAAAAATCAATATGAATAAATATGAATATTAGTTGTAACTTGAGACAGGAAGCTGCATGAAATTTGAAGTCAATAAATTATGTTTACATGCTCACAGTAATTTCTATTTGTCATTGTTCTGTTTTAAACTGTACACAGACGGTCAATAAATCATATTATTTTAATATTATTGTAATAGTTCAGAACTCTCCTCTCTTCTCTCCATACAGGAGGAAATAAAAAAAAAAACTCAAATCAGGGCCAACATGGCTACCACAACAGTGCCGCCCCTTTTTCAAAATAAAGGCACTCAATATAAAACTCCCTAACTTGAATTCTGGTGTTATTTTGTCCAACAGCTCTTATATCCTCACACAGCTACTGCTTCAAATCTTATTTGTCCTCCCTCTTCAGGATAAAACTTGGTATATAAGGACTTTTTTCTTGATAATATTTTTGCCAACAACTAACAGTTTTCATTTTCCATTGCAAAAATGTTTCKTCAGATACTGTATTTGCATATTCACAGCTTTGCCTACAGTAACTTTTCCTTTCCTACCTGAAGACTCTTACCTGGGCTCCTTGTTTTTGCCTATTTCTACGCTAAAAAGTTATATTTTTACCCATTATAATGTAATTGATTTAATCCACCCAAAACYCTCAAACTTGATCAGGAGCCTCTGGAACAACAGGATATTGAGGAGAATATCTCAGATRAGCTCTGGTCACGTATTTTAAAAAGGGTACATAAAAATGTGCTTGGCTTTCTCTTCTACAATGCAAACTGGTGCAGCGAGTATCTAAAMTCTACAGCTCTGTTCCTTCAACCTGTGACAGATGTCAACAGTCTCCTTCAAACCTTATTCATATGTTCTGGCTGTGCTCTCGGCTCAATGCATTTTGGGTAGAGGTGTTTATGGCTATATTTAATGTAAGTGTCCTGTTTGGGTCCTTCCTGGACTCCCCACTTTGGCTATTTCTCAGGAAAACTGGCTTTTATGCTTGTTATTGCTAGAAGGGTGATATTACTCAAATGAAAAACACCAACCAAGGTTATAATAGTTTTGATTTTTCATTATAGTTTAGTTTTGTTTCATTGTGACTTCTTTTCTTTTAATTCAGTTTTAATTAGTTTTTACAGAGTCTTTATTAGTTATTATTGCATTTTTAATGCTTAGTTTTAGTTTAGTTTAGTTTTTTATAGTTTGAATAAAGATATTTGCAGTGCATCCTCAAGTTGTCATGTTCCTGGGAGTTAACTAACCAACAGCTATTTGGTCGCTAGTTAAAATAGTCTATTATAGCAACACCTTTCTAAAATAATTGCGTAAATCATTTTTTCCAATTAAGGACTTGGGTGATTATTTTAGGACGATGACAATAGTTGTCTCCAACCTGGTGCTACTTGYTGATTGTTTTTCATGGGAGCTACTGACAGAAGCTAGCGTGTCAAGATGGTCATTGTTAACCATCTTGTGTGAGTTTGATTCAGGCAGTTTTTCTCTTGAGAAATATTTATTATTGATTATTTCCTTTACTTAACCAGGAAAGTCCCATTGAGATTAAAAACCTCTTTTTCAAGGGAGTCCTGGCCAAGAGGCAGCAAAAAGTATACATTTACATAGAGTTACACAAATAAAACACAATACAAACAATCACTATTAAAAACATTCACATTTCAAGGAATTAATTTCTAATGACCTCAGTCTGGACTTAAAGGTGCTCAATGGGATCAGTTCAGTTAACTTCCAGACTTTTTGCAACATGTTCCATGTAGATGGAGCAGAGTAAACAAAGACCTTTTCCCCAATTCTGTATGGAGAAATGGGACAGAGAGCAAGAAATAATCATTTGAATGCAAGGAGTGTGAATCAACACTTTTTCGTGTGATTAGATCACAGATGTAAGATGGTAGCAGCCCACGCAAAGCCTTATAAATAAAAGTGTACCAATGTCCCAACCTCCTGGTGGACAAAGGCCATCCCACTCGAGTGTACAGATCACACTGATGAGTCGAGGCTTTACATTTAGTAACAATTCCACCTGTTTTATCACCTGTTTCCACTACAAGACACTCGTTTTATTTTTCTCGCAGTCATATTCAAAAAAATCCCCAAATGGACATTGCTGCTTTCTCCCAACTTTAGCTGTCGTCATTTAGCAGACGATGCCGAGCAGCAGACTGTAAACAAGTTGTTACAGACCATGAGTGCTGTAAGCTGCCCACAGCTAAWGTGAAACTACTCGGTTCAAAAAATAAAATTAAAATTAAAATAAACTGACAAACACTAAAACTAAGGATATTCTATTTATATTTTCAGTTAACATTAGTTAGTTTTGCAAAATGATTATACAGTTTTAGTTATGGTTTTTTTCATTTTATTACAGTTTTTATTTATTTTAGTTAACTAAAATGTTTTTTCAATTAGTTTCGTTATTTAGTTAGTTTTAGTTAACTATAATAACCCTGCACCAAACCCTATCTTTCTTACTCTGACTCAAAGAAATACTTCCTTAAACTCATGGCAACCATTACAACTGTTGTTTAGATGAATGACCTCCCTCTCTATCACTACTCAGTTCAGACTTTAGTCCTGAACATCACCTGAGGATGGTGGTCCATCACATTAGGACCRRGCTTTAATCCCCTAAAGAACTACGTGTCCTGACAAGGTGGTGTTTATAACAGAGACAGTCCTAAAAAGGGAACAAGAACCAGGCCCACACTGTTGTTTTCTGCAGACGGACTCTAATGTCCTTCACACCTGTCGTACCTGTGTGACCAGCTCCTGGTAGGTCTGGATGGCGGTCTGATAGGACGCCTCTGTGTTGAACCTCCCTGGGAACGGCCCGTCAGACCCGGTACACAGGATGAGGTGGGAGTACTGGATCTCCTGCAGGACCAAGAAAAACAAACATCAGCTCAACCTTTAGGAACCAGCAGCGTCAGATGATGCAGCTTGGTGGACACCAGCAGGTGGAAGCAGAACCACTTTGTTCAGTCCTGTTCCTGATCCAGGACCATCAAGATCCAGCAGCAAGATGAAGGCCTCTTTGTCCTCTGAACCAGGAAATGATGAAATGTGATGACTGTGTTCAGGTTTCTGATTCCATCCGCTGATTCTGCTGTCCTCATACATGTCCTGCTGTCTTCAAACATGTCCTGCTGTCCTCATACATGTCCTGCTGTCCTCATACATGTCCTGCACCAGTCATACATGTCCTGCACCAGTCATACATGTCCTGCACCAGTCATACATGTCCTGCACCAGTCATACATGTCCTGCACAAGTCATACATGTCCTGCACCAGTCATACATGTCCTGCACCAGTCATAAATGTCCTGCACCAGTCATAAATGTCCTGCACCAGTCATACATGTCCTGCACCAGTCATACATGTCCTGCACCAGTCATAAATGTCCTGCACCAGTCATAAATGTCCTGCACCAGTCATACATGTCCTGCACCAGTCATACATGTCCTGCACCAGTCATAAATGTCCTGCACCAGTCATAAATGTCCTGCACCAGTCATACATGTCCTGCACCAGTCATACATGTCCTGCACCAGTCATAAATGTCCTGCACCAGTCATAAAT